GTTTTGTTAGATACCATGTCTGGGTGGATTGAAGTGTTTCCTGCCACTAACAAGAGGGTCCAGATAGCTTTTGATGTTCTTCTCCAGGAAAATAGCCCCAGATTGGAATCCAAACCTCTCTTCAGTCAGATAATGGTCCAGGGTTTACCTCCCAGATCTCTCAAACTTTATCTAAGGCTCTTAACATTCCCTGGCATTCTCATATTCCATACTGTAGACCCATATTTCTACATGGTATGGCGACCAGAATCCCAGGCCACAGTTTGCACCTGCAGCACAGGAGGTGGTCACCTCCCTAACAAAGGGTCAGGATATGCTAATGTTGTTCTGCTCCTTCTTTGTAATGTGGAGGATGCTTGGGATAGAGATGCTAATTTGACCTATGTGACAGAGCTGGCATCAGTGCAGGAAGATAGGGAGACAAAATGGGCATAGAAAGGTGTGGTCAAAGGTGGGGACGAGACCAGAGACATTCGCCTGGTTACCTCGGAAGCAGAATGCCAATGAATTTCGCCCTCAGTTTATGTTCTGGTATATAAGTCTATTTGGAGAAAAAATGCAGAGGAATTTTCAGGATGTGAACTCAGGATTTCATGAGGGATTCCTGAGAATCTCCTTCCCGATAAAGCCATTTGAGTTGTGAGTTTATTCCCACGCCTCTCCTCAGGTCCAGGAGAAATAATTTAGGCTCCAGGCTAGCACCAGACCCTGACATAATGGTGCCCGTATGCGAGACTGATTGGTGAACCCCAAAAAACATGGAAGAAGTGACCAAACGTACAGAGGAGAACGTGAGGAACCCACGAGAAAAAAATTGCAGTACAGGTGCATATGTGAGTAATGTGCACTCAGAAATAAAGAATAGAGTTTCAAGAAGTATAGAGAAGTGGGAAGTTTAAATCAGGAGCAAAAATTTGTAAATAATAAGTTTCATATATGGGATAAGGAAGGAGTATTCAGTAGATATGTTGATAGCTAAAGGGAGTTAAACTGGAGCAGAAACAGAGGCAGAGAGATTTAGAGCCTGTAAGCATGCTAGCCGCAGAAATGCAACTTTTATCGCTAGCTAAACAGGTAGGAGAAGTAAAGGAACTATGGCATTTGGCCCAAGAATCGCCTAGGTTACTGCTAAGATTGAGACGCCAGGCGCCGGGGGCACACAGTAACCAGCTGAATCTAACCCACCTGCGGGAGTACGTTTAGAGAACAAATTTTACCCCACACAGTTGGTAGCCCAGAGTCGTCTAATAGAACAGCGGAGAGGATTCAGGAATTCTCCTCATTTTACGATTACAAGTTAAAATTAAAAAAACAAAGTTTAAAATCGGTATGACTATACACACCAGAGCTTGTGATGGCAGACTGGCAGACGGAGGGAGCCTGTGTCCTGCCCCCTGCCAAGTGGCCTGGCTTCAGCAGGGAGTTGAAAGGCAGGTTTGAAAAAGTAGCCTCAGAAAGCTGCAGCTTCAGGACAATTAAAAATAAACAAGCAGGTTAAATATGCTTCTTTTTCCAGTTCACAATTTTGCTTCTTTGTCAAAAATCTGCTGTTAGTAGGCATGTGGATTCATACCCAAGGTGAACTGATACCAGTTCTTTTGATCCTCATACCTTCTCAATGTGTTTTCAGTACTGTGGCTCTGTAGTGAAGTTTAAAACCATGGATTGTGATGCATTCAGAAGTTCCTTGATTTACAGGATTTATAAGATTGTTTAGGCTACCCTGAGTATTTTTTTCTTACAACGTTGAAGATTGTTCTTTTGAGGTCTGTGAAGAATTTTGCTATAATTTTAATGGGCATTGCATTGAATCTGTAGGTTTCAGTAAGATTGTCATATTTGCTGTGTTGGTTCTACCTTCACAAGAGAATAGGAGATCTTTCCATTTTCTGGTGTCTGAAATTTCTTCTTGAAAGATTTAAAATTCTTATCATATAGAATTTTCTACTTGTTTGGTTAAAGCTACTCCAAGATATTTTATGGTATTTATGGCTATTGTAAAGGGTGATGCCTCTCAGGTAACATATTGTAGAAGAGGTGCATTTTGGGTAGTTTCCAAATTCTGTCTATGACAAAGTAATTTTGCTATAAACATAGTTTGGCGCATGTCCTTATTGGTTGAGCATCTTTGTTGCATAGGCACAAAACTGGTATTGCTGAGTTTTAAGGTAGATAGTTGCCTAATTTTCTGAAAAATCACCATACTAGTATCCAAAGTGGCTGTGCCAGTTTGCACTTCCACCAGCAATGGAGAAGTTTTTTTTTTTTCCTTTACCGCACATTCTCTTTTTTTTTTTTTTTTTTTTTGGTTTTTCGAGACAGGGTTTCTCTGTGGCTTTGCAACCTGTCCTGGAACTAGCTCTGTAGACCAGGCTGGTCTTGAACTCACAGAGATCCGCCTGCCTCTGCCTCCCGAGTGCTGGGATTAAAGGCGTGCGCCACCACTGCCCGGCTCCGCACATTCTCTTAAGCACAAATTGTCAACAGTGTTTTTAATCTTGGCAATTCCTACAGGGATAAGATGGAATCTCAGAGTTTTGATTTGCATCTCTCTAATGGTTAAGGATGTTATACTTGAGCATTTTTAAGTGTCTTTCAGACATTTTAAGATTCATCTGTTGAGAATTGTTGGTTTAGGTCTGTGCCATATATTTTTTATTGGGGACTCTGGGGACCGCCCCCCCTTCCATCTTGGGACCTTCCTCCCTCAATCACCAGGATCTCAAATTTTATCACCAGGAGAAAAAATTTTTCTAGACACAATCTTCAGCATTGCCAGCATCTTGTCAGGTCCAAGCTGCCTGTCAGCCAGTTCCCCAAAGACCAGGAAACCCTGAAGTAACCAGCTACCCCAAGACGTGGTCAAGCATCCCAACTGTCTGACGCCCACACATCAGCAGAAAGTAGTCTTGTTAGACGTGATGCCCCATTCCTGCCCATCTGTTACCTTTAACCTCCCAATTTTCATAATAAATATAAGGGTGAAATGTTATCATTTCTATCACCCGTAGTTCTGCCAAAATGTCTAGACACCTGAAGCACTGGCACTTCTGGGTTCCAAAGCAAGGCACGCACCATCAAGTGTTGTGGCAACGTACATAGCCATCCAGGGCCTCAAAGCCTGTGTGATCTTGATCTACCCTGCAGAAGCTACAGCTATGTAAGCCACGTCAGTATGCACATATGCTAGGCGGTTTCAAAGCTGAACTCGCCCACTCCGTATTTTCTTCTCAGCACCAGCTCTCCCCAGGCCTGTGCACGCACGTGTCTTTTCCTCTCTCTAATAAACATCCTTCCTGTGTACACATTCACGGCTGTGGGATGCTTCAGATGTCATGTCTGTGGTTTCCATGCCTCACATCTTGCTGCCTCACTTTTAACAACAGAGATGAAACAGGGCCAAGGAAAAGGATCTCAGGCCCAGAGCTGGGACCAAGCAATGGCCGTCACCTTAGGGAGCAACACATTTCCGGGCCATAAGGACCTACCCACACCTACCCGCGCCTACCCGCACCTACCCGCACCTACCCGCACCTACCCGCGCCTACCTGCACCTACCCGCGCCCACCCGCACCCTCAGAGAAAGCCCAGACATTGTATAGCTGTGGTTTCAAATCCACAACACGAGGAGAGGATGGCCCCAGTTTGAGTTTATTGTTAGGACTTGGAAACAGAGGTGATCTCTGTCCATTGCTAACTGTCCTGAGAGCGTCTGTTAGCTTGACAAGTTCAATTTTCTTTTATTTGGCTTCCTTAATGGTTAACAAATCTGCAGATAAAAAAATATGGTTGTCATTCTGTCTACTTGCCTTATTCCCCGGCAAAAATCACAGACAAGATCTAGACTGTAAAGCAGACTGGTAGGAGCGCTGGCTTCACACGGGGTCCCAAATATTAAAGGACACTGAGGCTGAGACGTGGAGTCTGAGGACTCAGTGAAAGAAATGTTTTCTTAGTATTTGTTCGTATTATTAATGGGTGCTGCCATTCCTGTTTCGAGAATTGACATCAACAACTTCTCAGATAAATACGTTCTTTTTGTAGTGAGAGCGAAGCACATTTATCTAGATATTTTCTCATCACAGACATGGATGTGGTCCCTGTATTTATTATCACCAGTATTACTGTTGGAAGTCAGGCATGGTGCTACACATCTCTTAGCAGCATTTGTGGTGGCGCAGGCTTTTAATCCCAGCACTTGGAGGCAAAGGCGGGCGGATCTCTGTGAGTTCAAGGCCAGCCTGGTCTAAAAGAGCTAGTTCTAGGACAGACAGGCTCTGAAGCTACAGAGAAACCCTGTCTCTGGGGAAAAAAGAAAAATGAAAGGAAAAAAATGAGGGTATTACTGAAATTTTGTTTGGGGGGGAAATTACTGGTGCCAGGAAGTAGTGATACAGGCCTTTAATCCCAGCACTCGGGAGGCAGAAGCAGGAGAATGGCCTGGTCTACAGAGAGTTTCAGGACAGCCGAGGCTACACAGAGAAACCCTGTCTTAAAACAATAAAACAAAAAGTTTAAAAATTGACTGTTTAGACAAAAATAGTAACAATAAATTGTGGGGTCTACAAACTTGGAAGAAGCAAACTTCACGGTAAGAACCGCATAAGCACGGGGAAGGAAGAACAGTCCTTGAGCACAGGCTGTGGGAAAGTAAAAGGTGGTGCTGTAAACCTTAAAGCAAAATTTCAAAATTTATCACGGCCAATGAGCCAATAAAATAGCGAAAATGTCATGAGGGTAAACCCACAAACTAAAAGCAGGACCCATTGCGAGAGGGGCGTGATGTTTGCAGGTAAGTGGCGCGCATGAGCCTCAAGGGTCTGCAACTCTTTGGAGACCGTGGAGATTTCTCACGACGCGGGAAGAAAAGCCGGGCTGTACGTGGCAGATAGACTTAGAACATAAATGTGCGTCCGAGAAAGCTAGCACACGCATGCGGAGAAGTGACTGCGTGTTCAGAGCACAGGGTGGGTGGGGCTGAGTCGGGGCTGGGGAGGGGGAAAGCAGGAGAGACACCATGATCAGGTGGGTGGGCTTTCCCAGGCTGAGGCTCACCCATTGCACTTGGGGTGTTCTAACCTCTGCGATTTAGCTCCCAAGTGCGGGAAACTGGACTGCATAATTTGTGGCCGTGGGGAACTGTGTTCGCTCTCTCCCCTAGTTTTCCTTGTAGTTAAAAAGAGGTGGTCGGATTTTGTTTGGGGGTGGGGGGGAGGCTGATGTTTAACTACAGCACTGCTCGACACGTGTTCTCTTGTGGATGCGCTTCTCCTTGCTTTCTTTTCCTTGCGGTGGTCATATTAATCCGAGTTCCATCTAACGTCCTGTGTGGGTGTACGTTTGATGTGTACAAAAGGAGCGAAAGCAATCCTAACGTCCCCCAAAGACGGTAAAGATGTTTCTGTCACTGGCAAGTGCCTGCTTTTATTTGTCTTTTCCGGTCTGTAACCCTTGGAATGAGAATGTAATAAAACAAGCCAACAAAGGTTTTGCTTTTGAAGCTTTCGTGTATGAATATTTTGCCTACTTTGTACATGAAATACTTCTCAGTTGTAACACTGGTACCGTAGAGGTCGGAAGAGAATCCTTATGTGGGTTGAGAGAATGCTGAGTTAATCCTGGTGGGGACTGTAAGTTTTAACCAAGTGTGTAGTTGGCATTACAATAGTCCTAGGGCTCTGCGGTTTGTGTCTTCTAACCTATTTTTTTCCAAGTCTGCGTTTAGGATACTATTTAGTTGCTGTCCTCTACAAAATTGTCATCAGAAAGGATGGTTGCAGTGAGAGACATCCAGCTCTGAGACTTCTATTTGGCTCCATTAACTGCAGTTCAGGGATGCTGAGAAAAACCAGGACAGGATCCACAGACATGAAAAGCCTTCCAAATCATTCCACTATTTTTTTCTTTTTCTTTTCCTTTTTTTCTTACTTTTTTGTTATTGTTGTTTTTGGGTGATGGTGGTGGAGAATTTTTTTTTTTTCCTTTTTAGGGACAGGGTTCCTAGACATGAAAGGCTTTTGTTGTGGTTTTTAAGACAAGGTCTCACTCTTCAGTTTTTCCTGGCCTGGAGCTCACTATGTAGGTAAGGATGATCTCAAACTCACAGAGATTCTCCTGTCTCTGCTGAGTTTAAATTTCCTGAATGCTGAAACTAAAGATGTGTGCTACCACATCCAGATTTACAGTCCATTTTAACCCCAATAAACTTGACAGTCACCTCCCTTTTCTGGATCTCTTGCAGCCTGGTGTTACCCTATAACTCAGTTACAGTCTAGAGCAGATAGGCAGAAGCCTCTGGGGATGGTACTCTTCCCTGAACAAACTGTTTGCATACCTTCTGCCTGCCCATCCTAGTCTCTTTTTCCTGCCCAGAATATCGGTATGAAGTCATCTTCTGCTATGAGAATAAAAACCTCAGGGTAAGGTGTCTGAACGGAAACAGGAAGACTCTGTTTAATTACAGCTGTGGTAGCGATATTCGATATTCACAAATTTGTGCCGGTACTCATTGACAAATGAGAGTACTTAGCTGTTTGAGCCATTGCTAATTAAGTTCACTGTTAACATTTCCAAAATCAGTCTGAAAGGATAGAGTACTGGTCCATTCTCTGGTCGCACAGAAAAATTGCGAGGGTGGCAGGCAGAAGAGGAGAAAAGAACAAGTTGCATTGGCCGGGAATCGAACCCGGGTCTCCCGCGTGGGAGGCGAGAATTCTACCATTGAACCACCAATGCATCCTCAAGAAGGCTTTGTGACAGCACATTGAGAAAACGTGAGAGAAACCACGTGTCTCAGTGAATTTTTACTGAAAACAGCTATGTAAACGTTTTCCTCATGACTTTTTGAATTTTCCATTCCTGACAAGGAAACACATGTCCTCCTACATGCTAGACTGTGATAAATCTGGGCCAGATTTGCCACTCAAGGACTTTCGGGGCATGACTTTCAGCTCATTAGAAAGGAAATGCTAATTCCGGTTCCAAACTCGTACGTGGCTCTGAAAAGCCTCCTTTTAAGTTTGCCAGTGTCCAAACCATGCTCAGTTCAGACGTCGTGGAAACACCCTGGATGTAGATCCTGGGGACAATTCTATACCACACCCTATCTGTGTGAATAGACGGAGGAACACCCTTCTCGGGCAGGCCTCACTCTCGGTCCACTGGAGTAGACAGGAAGAGGGAGAGGTGTGAACGAAGCCTGAGCCTACTTCCTCTCTGCATATGCTTCCTGGTTTGTACTCAGTACATCTCAGGCACCATCCTGCCCTCACCTCTATTAGGAATTGTGTCCCCTTGTACTGTAAGCCCAAAAGAACCCTTCCTCTCTTAATTTTCCTAATGTCAGGTGTTTGGTCAAAGCAACAAGGAAAATAACCAATCCGAGGAATAATAGAGAAGGTTGTCAGCATGATAATTCTGCTTGTACGGAGAGAACATGCATCCCCACATCCAACACAGACAAAAGCAAGTCATAAAGAAAACAGAAGAGCACTGGGCATGGCTTACATCTTTAATCCTAGAATTTGGGAAGCAGATCTCCATGAATTCAAGGTCAGTCAGGGCTAGGGCTACATAGAGAGACCTTGTCCAAAAAAAAAAAAAAAAAAGGAGAAAAGAAAAAGGAAAAAGATGAGGAACAAATGTCTGGGACCATCAAATTTCCCCTTTCTGTTGGACAAGCTGTTTGCAGGAGGGAGGTGGGCTGACTTCAGTCAGTCTTCTCTGGTCCTGTGCCAACCCCAAGGACTCAGTTATCATCACTGGGAAGCAACCATGGAATACCAGGCATGCCAAGGCCCAGGGAGCCATTTCCATCAGTGAAACAGAATCAGACATGTCCTGGGGTTAGCATTAGGAGACAGGACTTTCAGTTATTATGCCTAAATTCCATAGGTCCAGATCTTCAAAACGAGATTCAGAATGTGTAAAATCAACCAAGGGAGACAGCAGAGATTAAAAGTAAGATGTTAGAGAAGGCAGCTTCCCTAGAGGGATTAGTCGCAAGTTACACATCGCAGAACACCTGATCAGGGAAATATATCCTTGAGCAATTGAGAATGTCCAATCTGGGGCTGGAGATGGCTCAGGGGTTAAGGCCACTGACTGCTCTTCCAAAGGACCCATGTTCAATTCCCAGCATCCACACAGTCACCCATAACTCTTACTCCAGTCTCAGGGTCTGGTGCCTTCTTCCGGCCTCCTAGGGCATCAGGCACACATGGGTTGTGCATTTATATATGTTGGCAAAACCCTATACATATATAAAAAACTTAAAAATGTAAAAAAAATATTCAAACTGAGATTTAAGGACAAAAAAGAATTTTTAAAAATGGACAGATGCATGAATTCTAAGACAAACTTAAATGATCTAATATGGGAAAACTGGGCCTCATGAAAACTGTGGGTAGAGGAGAAGGAAAAATGTTTGAAGAAACAATGGCTGAAAACCCCAGCCATGGCAAAGATTATAGTGTGGAGTATCTGCCAGAGAAGATTACTCTGGTGTGGGAGGTCCTTCTCAAACACCAGAGTTTGTTGCTCTTATTGCTTATTGAATAAAGAACTGCTTTGAGCCTATGGCAGGGAAGAACAGAACTAGGCAGGGAAAGCTAGGATGTATGCTGGGAGAAAGAAGGGCAAAGTCAGAGAGAAACCATGGAGCTGCCAGAGATAGACACCAGAACTTTAGCCAGTAAGCCACAGCCACATGGCAATATACAGATAAAAAGAAATGGGTTAAATTAATATAAGAGTTAGCCAATAAGAAGCTAGAGCTAATGGGCCAAGCAGTGACTTAATTAATACAGTTTCTACGTGATTATTTCGGGTCTAAGCTAGCCAGGTAGCCGGGAACCAACAAGCAACCCCTTCTCCAACACTACTCAGACATGGGTTTAGACCAATAGAAAGGCATTAGTAAGCCAGGCATGGTGGTGCAGGCCTTTAATTATAGTACTTGGGGAAAAGAGCCAGGCGGGTCTCTGTGAGTTTGAGGACAACCTGATCTATAGAATGAGTTCCATAACAATTGTTACACAAGAAAAGCTCTGTCTCACAAAACAAAAACAAGAAAGGAAGTCATGATTAGGAGCTGGTGGTGACCACACTGGGTGTTCAGGATCCCAGTGTAGATGGAACCTTTCTCAGGGTGAGCTTTTAAGCACAAAAACCTCATTCTGGGGGTGACACGCCTAAGTCAACAAGAACAGTTCGCAAGAAGCAGAACCACAGAATCTGAAAAGCAAGGTTAGTACATTTATAGACTTTCTCAGACCTGTGGACTTTGATGGACTAGGTCATTGTTTTCGTTTTGGCAAGCGCAGCTGTCTACGAGCGGAGTGGGCTAACGGAGGTCTGGGCCTGTTGCAATTGAAGGAAGAGATGCAAAGACTTGAGAAACTCAGTCCAGGAGTCATTGTGCGGAAAAAGCCCCAGACAGGCTGTAGTCAACTCCAGGGAAAACAGTGTTGTATATGCACAGGAACAGAGAGGAAACGCATGTCAGATTTCTTTCTGCAATTCCTAAGACTCCATCTGACGGCATGTAAAAGAGGACACAGCAAGGAAAACCTATGCTATAACATAATCTTTTATGCTATAATCTTTTTGTCCACTGTGAAGATGTGTCTTTGCCGAGGTGCCTTCTGATTGCTTTAATAAAGAGCCAGTAGCTAGCTAGGCAGGAAGAGTGGGGGGCGGAGAGAAGGAAAGAGAGATAGGAAGAGGTTAGATGGGACTTCCAGCTAGAGAGAGGAAGAGGAGATGAACTTAGGCTCTGGAGAGACATCAGAGGACATAGAGAGGAAATAGAAGGTACAAGATGGAAGAGAGGTAAGAAGTCACAGGGCAATTGTAGGTTAATTTAAGTTCTAAGAGCTAGTGGGACAAGCCTGAGCTGTAGGCTGAGCTCTCCTAATGAATAAACCCATATCATTATTTGGGAGCTGGCTGGCAGAATAGAAAAAGACTTATTAAAATAATATTTATCTTCTAAAAATTGATAAAAAAATTTCAGGCATAAACCTGAAATCCCAACATTGGAAAAGCTGAGGCAGGAAGATGGGGAGTTCAAGGCCATGTTCTACACATAAGGAACTGAGGCCAGCCTGGGCTACATAAGGTCCTACTTTAAAAAATAATTCATCTAAAGAAGGGCATT